TAAGGACCGTACAGCAAATTAGAAAATCAATCACACTTAAATACTTAATACTTTATATATGAATATTATTGCATTATACTTCATGCTTTCTAACCTAAACTCCTTAGTTGAACAATTATGAATTTAGAGTTTTTATATCTTGAAATTATCTATTTTATGGTGTCACTAATATTTTACATATTCACTTCGAAATCAACATTGAGACTATATTATAAAGTATACTTGTGAGAACAGCAACATATTTTGAAATACGTCCTTCGATCTTACAGCATAATATTATTATGGCTCAATAATTGTAATATATGATAAGAAAAATTGTATAGCTTGCAACAATTAAAAAACATAAACACACTATAGATATTAATAAAGTAGTATAGATTCATATTATTATATAAATTAAAGATAATTAAGATAAGAATATAAAATTATGAATCTAATGTAGTTAGCTGGCATACTAAAATGAAATAATAACAATATTATGGGGAATACGTACAGTGGGATACATAATTATAATTGACCTTCACTTTAGCGGGTTAGTCCTTAGAAAAGATAAGGGGGGGGCTCCATGATAGCTATGAACTTGGAAATAAAATAAGTAAAATAATGTTCCGATGTTTGACGAAAAAAGGGATGGTTTTGGTTAAAGAAAGTAGCTTTAGCCTGGTGGTTCATTGGAATTGGAATTTAAAGTCTTTGAAAACTTATCTTTGGTTTTGGGAGCAGTCATATCGTTCGTTACATTTTACAAATAGATTATACAATGATACAATTAGGCTGATAGTATACGATGCCCTACGGCGTTTTTCTAAAATATGTTTAATTTTTAGGAACTTACGAAAAATGGTCTCCCGAACAATGTTGACCCATCTCTGCATGCCAATTCGTGTGTATTCGTATTAATTAGGAAGCTGCATAATCAAAATTTGGTTATACACAACTCCGATTCGTAACATAAACAACACAAACTATTAAGAGTTTTCACATATATTTAAAGATTCTATGAAAATATTTTGTTTTAATAATAATAAAACATACTTAATGCATAATATATTTACATAGTAATATATATGTGTAGTAGTTTTCGAAAATAATCATGATTTTTTTCCTATAAAATTCACGTTTGGTAAAAATAATGATACCAATATTAATAATTGCACATTGTAAAATGCATGTTGAAGTTTTTTAGAGCACATCTATGCACATACATAGCTCTTTGTTTTTTAGCATACCTATACCTATTCTATACAGTTCCAAACCTTGGTTATGCCACTCGAGCGCACTACAAGCCGCTTAGTAACAATACACAACATTGGGTACGAAGTATAACAATGCACGTACAAGTACGATAAAAAATTATATCGTACCTATGTCCTATGTATTATAATATAACTATTACTATTATTATTATTATTATTATTATTATTATTATTATTATTACTATATAATCTCGGGTCCGCCACTTGACCGCGACCCGTTCATAAGTACACGATATAATAGTATATAAATAATATATCATAACAACCGCCGTGGAACGTGATCGAATCTGCGTTCAAGTATAATATATAATATCCGAGACACCAGATGTGTGCAGTGTTAAAATAATAATATAATAGACGCACATCACACCTTTTTGGTAGGAAAAAAAAACGATGACGACGACGGTAATAATAATAATAATAATAAATAAATAAAGAGAACACTCGTAACGATATTATCGGTGGTCAGTGCGGTTTACCGCACTTCTCCGTACACACATATTATTACATGTATAATAATATTATGGTTAGGGCTGAGGTCTTGTAGTACTTACAAATTTCAAAATATGTATGTATGAAGTGTCTGTACACTAAAAAACAAGAAATAGGTTTGCACTTTAGAATATAATATATACTATGCTCCAAAAAATGTATTCGAAGTTGGCCATTAACAAATCTTATATAATTAATATTTTTTTACATATTACTTAATTTATCGCTCATTTTTGAAAAAATGTTTTATTGCACTTTATAACAATAATATTTTGTTATAATGCTTGACAAATTGTACACATTTAAATTCTTAGATTATTAAAAATAACCGGACACATCAATAACTACGAGAAATATACGACTTGTCTAGTTACAAGTTACTGACAAAAGTGATTTATAACTTAACTTTTAGCTTTCTAAGTATAGTAAGTTTTCAGGCTCGATAAGTATGTATACGCAGTAACTGCAGCGGGTATATAACTAACAATATACACGTCACTCGCTTTGTCCTGCGGCCCGTCTGCGCGGACAAGTATTTAAAAAAAAAAACTACGAGTCCCCGGCCCCATAATTTCATATTATTATGATCTATACATTGTACCGATGTACCGGTGAATAAGAGACGACCGTATAAACGGGTTTATAATCATAAAATAATATACGCTGGCGAGTAAACGAGGCGATACGATTTACGACTCGTTGGCGGGTATATGCGGTAACAACCACAATAATAATAATAATAATAATAATATTAATATGATATATTATTAACGTGATTATTGTTGTATAATATCGGGCGTGTAATTCGACGTGTTTGTCCGCCGACGTACGTGGCTCAGGCGGACCGTGGCCGGACGTGCGTCTGATTTTCGGACCGCAACGACGACGCGCGACGCACACCAGCCTATGGACCTCTGTATATAACCCCGTCCCCGCGATCTGTGTTTCATTGTATACATCGATATTATAATGATACACCGTGAGACCATCGCCGCCGAAAAGGTTGGATACAGTAATATTGGGTAAAATGTTGTATGGGTGACCAAAAAAGCAGTTCGAAAAATGTTGACGGACGTCGGAGAAATAAGTCGACTTCGCCAAACTGCATAGACATACAGTGCACTATATTTTCTTCTCTAAACTCTCTGCTCGGGCATTTGTTTTGTTTTTACTCGACGCTTTATTGCAGAAAAGGCCCATAAAATATTAATACTAATATGAGCCACAAAATTAACATTTTTTTATCGAATAGATGCGAAATGTTGGGAAAAGTCGTCAATATTTTCCGATCGAGTCAAATTCTTACACGTCATAACGCAAGAAAATAGTTTTAATATCGATCAATGAGACAGCAATTCAATACATCCATATTCAACTGATTACAATACAGAATCTTAAACAAGGAAAACCGTATTTTTGGAGATCATTCAGTTCCACGGTGGGGGACCGTCAAGAACTTTTCTGTGAAGAATTTCCGACGCATGTCTTCTCTTGCCCAGTCCGTAACACAGAACCCGACTGTTGCACGTACAATTCGGCAGAGGTGAAAGCAATTTAATTTATTGAGTATGCCACACACCCCGTTCTATAAGGGGTTCGAAATAGGCAATTTTAATTCCTTATCAATTCATCCTTGAATAATATACCTATGTACTTTTATATCATGTATTTTTTAATAACTCATAAACTCAAAGGGTCGTAAACGAGTATGGAGTGTTAATCGAGTGTTCGAGTGTTGATTTAGATACATCGAGATTTTCAAGAAAATGATCGACCGTATTCTAATTAATGCAGCATTATGAAGAAAATAATTAAAATATGTCGTTCGTATGTAATGTTATAAGGAGCATACTACTAAAGCTATTTTGCCTCTACAAGGAAAATTGAGGAACCATAGATATTATGTTTTTGTGTATAGCGCAGGGAACAAATGTCTAGCAGTGTGCTACATTTTGTTAGGAATTTAATTTTAACATAAATATATGTTTTCGGGCTGGGAACAATAATTTTTGTCTCTGACCGATTTTTTATAAGATTTTTGTGGTCTTGGTTACCTATTAACAAAAACATATATATCATTCATAAAAATACGGAGTAGCGTGTTAGCCTATGTTTTTTTAAAATTTTTATTGGTGATTTGCGTTTCCATGACAATAAACTAAGCGTTACGAAAATCGGTTGGAAAAAAATACAGTTGTATCCAGCCCAAAAACATATTTGTGATAAAGGAGGGTGAGCACCCTATGTGGGTGGGCGAGCACCCTCTATCAGTCAATCTTAATCTTATTGCGATATATTTATTCTCGTGCATCGATGCTTCCATAATATTGATATAATATTATTACCCAACATTTGTAGCGTCGTTGCTGTTGTACGCTTTCTACAATAATATGATATACTTCACGAGTTATACGGTTACGGTGAAATAAGCAGAAACGCACTTCAAGTGTGCATAAAATAATGATAATATACTATTTAATATTATATCTAGGTTCTTATTGTTATTATGATAATATTATACGTTACACAAACTGTCCAATTTCTGTGTATAAAAATATAATATTATACTTATATATACTTGTGCGATAAACGACAGCTATGGGTGCGCACAAAAGCTTGTGTTTTTACCAATGACTATTAAGCTATAAAGGACCGAGGACTTCACAGTAGAAATATGATATGATATTATTATTCTTATTTATGGTATAAACTATAATCATAATATATTATCATATGTATACCATGCGACATATTATACAATATGAAACGACGATAAAATACAAAACGTCAAACAATATAATATTAGGTATTATATATTATATTATTATAATATTTACAGTCGAAATTCGTTACCTCGGCTTCTTGGACGCGATTAAGAAAATAAAAACAAGTAGAGTATGCTTATTCTTATTATATCAATACGCGAGCACTCGATTTTCTATCGATAATAACATTATTACGATTGCAAAGATAACATTTTATGTACACGCCGATTGAGTAACGTAGTTGATGAGATCATCATTAAAGCATAATATTTTGTATTACCGACTATAGACTATTGATATATAATATTATAAATACTACTCGATCAAAACCAACACACACACTCACGAACACAATACAATAATTATATTAATAACATAAAATAAAATCAAGCATAAATAATATACGTTTCTACAACGCATATTAGTACTCATATAATAATAATAATAATAATAATAATAATAATAATAGTGATAAAAAAAATAATAATAATAATAAAAAATGTATAATATATTTACAAAAGTTGAAAACATAATAAATTACCGTGCGATATCGCTCCAAATTAAACGACAGCTGATACACTCTTAACAAACTCCCCCTCTCCAAAAACTATTCCCTTGAAAATCAACTAAGATAGTTAGTAAAATGACATTCGAGAAGACCCGAATACAGTTACTGTGGCAAACATAATATTATACATCATATTAATAAATTATATTATAATAATAAAATTGTGAAACTTTTGTGACGATTGAGGCAAAAAAAAAAAACACAAAACAAAATAAATATAAATTAAACGAAAAACCACGAAAATCGCACTACCGCACTACCTCTAACACACATAGTCGGATATCGGACGGGGGTTGGGGGCTTTAGAGAGAATAACTCATAATCTTACCGCCCAAATTAAAGAAAAGATTTTCAACTATCCACATTTCGGTCTATTTGGCCTTATATGCATAAAATATCATAATAATCATAAATAGGTACATGGCTGACGATTTCGATGCACTTCTGCTCGTGTCGGCGGCCGCAATGAATCACGACGAGAGTGCAGCAGGTGACAGTAAGTACGCGGTGTGGCCGCGGCCGCAAAAAGTCGGCGGCGACGGTAAGTCGATCACCAAGGCCGCCACATTGGATCGCGTAGGGCGGCCACGGCGGCTGCAGCAGCGGCGTCTTGCTGCAGGTTCGGCGGCGACCGGCCGAACGCGGGCCTTGTGGGTTTGGGCCTGACGACTGTGTGCGGTGGGCCGCGGTTGGAAGCGTTTAGGGTGACTGGTTGCAGCGTCGGTGAGGCGGCGGCGATGGCCGCAAAGTGGACGGCGGTGTCGGCTGTAGCGGCGCTGCCGGCCGCGGGGCATGGAGGCGTGAGGACCGTCGCGGCCGCGGCCGACAGTGGTGGCGTTGGGGGCGTGTGGTCGGGTGGCTGCGGTGGCATCCGGTCTTCGCTTGAACTGGAGGCTGCCCGTTTGTCAGTAGCCGCCATCGCCGCGGCCGCGGCTGCGGTGGCTGCGGCGGCGGCGGCCGGCAGTTGAGATTCGAGAGCGCGCGACACCGATTTGGCCAGGTACTCGACCAGACGGCGGCCGACCACCGAGTCCAGACCCGGCAGCGACAACAGGAAACTGCACGCTTCGCTGGCACAGTGGCTGAATCCTTCCTGCGGACAGACAAATACAATTAACGCACCACTCGACATTATATTAATATTGCGTTGTAGAGTGGTCTATTACATTTGTGCGTGATACGAAATTCGTTATGACTCGTATGACGTATATTACGAAATTATAAAGCTTGTTGCGACCGATATTTGTGACGGGTATAGGTTATTGACCTTAAATTTAATTAATAACAAATTACGATTTGTAAATTATTTTTTACTTAACAATATGAACCACATTTGATAAGCTCTGTTTTTGTGGCTGTGACTACTGACTACAATTTTACCAGTTATACATAAAGACTTAACAGTGACCGATAACTTTTTTAACCAACTCTTAAATTTTATCTATAGTTTACCTACATTTAAATTGTTTAAAAATTTAAAGTATGATGTCTAACACAAAAAAACTAACGAAAATGTAACAATTAACGGTGCTTACGTATACATTACGCTTATGTGATATTATTAAATTGTATAGAGTGCCACTAGACAGTGACGATAACACTCCCGCACAATAGTGGTATCGTAATGCGTGTATAATATAATCGTTATTTCGTTATAAATGTGTAAGACTTGTTTAAACTGTTCTCACGCGAACTCCCCACGATTATCACCCTATTCGCGTCCCCTCTCCCTTCACCACCCACACGAATCATTCGACAGTGGTGACCGTAAATAATGGCCCGGATATTTCTAAACTGCAGTATTTGAGGGGGAAAAAACAATTTTTTGCCGGTGTGTTATTATTAATAATAGATTACAGATAAACATGAAATTCCTAAACGCCTACATCAATAAAAGCTTTTTTTCCCACTATTATGAAGTGACTGATATCCCCTCGTCCTACAAATGTGACCTTGACCTATTAAAATATCACACTTGTTAAACTTTATATTATGCGGATGTCTCCGGATGCGCTCCAGAAACTCGGATATGTTAGAAGTACCTACTTAATTCACACGTGTTTTATTCTTCGGAAATAACAGTCACGCCTTGTGGGATCAAACAATAAGTACAAGATTTATGATTTTGTTGTCAAACTCATCGTCTTAATTCCAATCATAATATATATGAACTATTATAATTTGTAAAAGTATATATATTAGAACAATGTTTTTTATTTTTTTAAATTAATTATAACCACGAAGACAAAATTAAATGGTCGTTAAGATATTTTTAAATTTTTAAATTTGAACAAAAAGTATCTAGTATCTATTTTTATATTGTGTGAAAGTATATTTAATGTTGTATAAAAAGATGCTTTAAGAATATGACTACACTTACACTTTTAAAATTATTTTATTTAATCGCGTTAGATGTCACTATAATTTGAATTACATATACAAAAATTAAATTAATATATTTTAAATTTCACTTAACCTATTCTACCTAGCGCACAATACAACATTATTGTATAATACTGCGATTTCACAAACAAAAATCAAAATCAGAACGCATTATGACAAACGAGAATGACTCTTCAACTTTTATATTGTAATTTGTACGATACTTAATGTTATCAAGACACCAAACGTTAATGAACCATAATAATAGACTTAGAACATAAAATTACATAGTTATTTTAAACTTACTTGAAATTTATAAGCTTCTTCTACGGGATCTCTCCTAGTGATCTTTTGAAGATGTTTAACGGTAAATTCCAAAATGTCTGCCTTTTCGAGTTTATCGACATTTTCACCTTCAGCCTATAAATAAAATTAAAATGTCACTAAATATATTTTAAAATAAAGTACTTATAATAATATTATGTTCTCTCACCTCTAAGGCAGAAAACATTAGATCCTTTAACTCGTCCAAGCACCGATTTATGCGAGCTCGACGCTTTCGTTCCAACAACGGTTTTGTTATCTATTAAATACAATAATATATAATTATTATTGTGATGTGAATATGAAAAGAAAAATACAAAAATATAAATAGTAAAAATCAACGTTTGAAAAAGTTTCAAAATAAAATACATAATATTTCCTCGAGCGTTTTAGTCGATTAGCTAAGTCATTTAGTCGACATAATTATATACCTACTACCAGCTACAAAATACTCTCTGTGAAACACGTGACTGTTCATGTTTTATATTACCAAACTACAAACTACAAAATACACACTACGCACACAGCAGAATAATTCCCAATTTTAAAATCCACACAATTCCCATTGATAAATGCTCAATATCACAAAACGTATTCTATTCTAAATTTCAACCAAACACACTCAAATATCTTATATTATTATAAAATGTATTTATATACAAAACCTTTTATTTTCACTTAGTTCCCGATCCACACACCAGACCATAAAAACGTTTTAGCTAAAAAAATTTTAAAAAATCGTTGTTTTTACTATCATAGTTTTTGTTAAATCGCAGAATATAAAATAATATATTATTTGATCAATGGAAGGCAAAATTAATTTGAATTACATTGAATAAATACGTTGCGTCTACAGTTATCGTCGAGTGCAGTGATAGTGTTAGATTTTCGATCCAACGGAAAACGTACCTACCTATAACGGTGGACGTTATAGGAAAAAGCTCAGATACGATCGAGGAAATTACTGGTTCGCAACTAATAAATTACTATACAATGCAGACATTATACATGATCAATAGTTGTATATTATTTATCCGTGTGCAGTAAAGTTTTTTTATAATTTTATTATTTACTGATTTAATATTATGGTTGTATATTGTGCGTAGAAGGCATATATTTCGTACGATATTCTTAAAACAATAAACGAAGACGGTCGAATACCTAATTATAGCCTAATACAAGGAGACATCGTGGTGACGGTCATAGGGGTGGGTTTTTGTTGTAGAGGGGGGGTAGGTAGTGAGGAAATATATCTTAAAAAGTTATCTATTATACTATACGATAAAATATATACCTATATAAAAGACATCATTGCCGAATTACATATTGCAATAATTTATACATGACCCAGTACTCAAAACCATATTAAAACCAAGTAAGAGGTTACGAATAAAAAAAGGATCACTTACCTTTCTGTACGTTACGGTCCGAGAAATCGGCGACGGAGTAGGCGAAAACATGACGACAAGTCTAGCTGGTTGGTTGGTTGGTTGAAAAATAAACAAATCCTATAGACGAATAACACAACAATAATATTATCACGCGTCACGAGCGAGAACACGAAAATAATAAACTAAAATGATTATAATAATAATATATCGACGATCGACGATCGACGAACACTCGAGTGCGAAATGCTCGCCGGATGACGGTGGGTAACGGACTGAACCAGCGGCGGCGGCGGTGCCTGTTGCCCGTCTCACTCCGTCGCCGCCGACGCGCTTCTTCCTCTTCCGCCGTCGCCGTTAGACCCCTTCTAAAAATACGCAAACCCCTCCGCCGCCGGGGGATGATCGGCGCGCGCGCCCCCGACACACGATATCAGGTCGCGTACCCCTCGCGTGCGTAGCCCCCTCGGGAGAGCAATCGTTTGGTTCCCACGGATTCCGATCACACTCCTCCCCCCCCGCGAGCGCGCGCGCGTAATTATATTATTCCGTTCATCCGCACATATTACGTATAGGTAGGTATATGTCGTTATAGGTCTCTTTGTATAATTTATAAAGGTGGCGCGCGTCCCCTACAGCTTCCTTACTCCCCGCGACGCCTCGTCTCGATACATTTTGGGGGACACTGCAGCTCGGGCCACGCGCTTGCTGTGCCCCTGAAATTCGGAGACGTTGTCAAACGGCGACCGTACATTAATATAATATTATAAATTATGTAACGCGGACGACGTATTGTTATTGTTATTATTTTTATGATCGTTTATATTAATATTGTATGTTTGAAATTGCCGGAAATGACTTATTGTGTTGTATTATATTGTATTATGTGTGTTTAAAGCAGTATTTACCTATAATAGGTACAATATTACATCATATTATATCCACGGAGTGTGTCGGTGATGGGAGATGCAACGGCATTGTCGAAACGTATACTTAATATACCTACTCTGAGTGTTACATAAGTGATAAAATCTGTTTTTTTCTTGTAATTTGGATTCACAATTATTTCGTAAATAATTAAGACAATTGCATAATATTAAACTATAATATGACAAAATGCATGGACATTTTTCCATATTAATTATTAATTAAAGATATTTGTAAAACAATTTTTAAAACTAATAGTTATAAAAAGCCTGTATATGTTAGTACTCAATAAGAAGAAATTATTCAGATCTGTCCATGATGGTGTCAAAATCTAAATGATCCCTTGATGTAGCTTAACACTTGTTGCTGATGGATACCTTCCTCAATTAATTCGCTGATTTATAAAGTTCCTAAATTATCGAGGACAAAAATGACTCATCGACAATTTAACTACTTCGTCCCCGAAACATACAAAATAATATTATAGTAAAACAGATTTTGCAATATAAGTAGTTTGTAAAACGATAAATTGTTCCCTAGGCTTGAAAATTATCGAATCCGTTAATTATTATGACGCCATAATAATAATGTTACCTTCTTCGATAGTTTATTTATGGATAAATTTAAATCACATCTATCAACATTTTTTTTATACATTAGACTGTGATCCATGAAAATTATACTTTTAGATTTTTTTTAAATACTTGTACCGTATACGGTGTACATAATATTAAATTATATTCAGCAGTTAATCGCTTTATTATACGTAATTATTATACTACACATATACACGCTATGGGAATTGCCAATAAAATTTAATTCAAGTGCAATAAACTAATTAACATGTAAAATATAAAACGTATTCAAATCAACTTCGGCGTGTTATTATTTTACTCGACCGCGATGTTCCATCTCGTTATTCCATAATATATATTCTGATTGCTGCATAAACGCATAAAAGTGTATAGTCCTTCACAAGAAACGGTTTTGGATAAGATTTTTAAAATAAAAATGTACTTTTATTGTATTAGGTAGGTATAGTAGATAAACGTTTAACGGTGAACTACAAAACACCAAATCGTATAAATTCGTTTTGATATACAATATTACAATGTTATGATCTTTTGTTCTCGACCGTTCGAGTTATTTAACATAAAATAACGCATGACGCGTTGTATCTGTCTTAAACTCTTAACATAGAGAAAATCCACATTCATCCAATAACATTGTGTTGTTAGCATAAAATATTCGAGTGAGTTGGCCCAGTATCAAATTTAAACTTAAAAACATTATCTGGAATTGTTAGTCGTTGGTTATTTATTAGATTTAAGTTTTTAAGCAAGTTATTATGATATGAGCATTTTTAAAATCCAATAGTTCCTCGCATACCCATAGTAATTCGCTCAAATATTTAAATATCTTAAAATAATTGACGTACACATAGATATACAGTCACACAGTTAATGTTATACTTACTTTTAATTTTGACTATATACTGGCCAATTCCCGCTCATATTAAACTATTAAAGTCTACCGCTCAAAGTTAGAGCTACTTAACACAAATATTTTGTGACGTTATATGTTTGGGTCTAACTATTATGACCATAATACGAAAAAGACAATGATTATTATTAAGATGTTCCTATACAATGTCTATAGATATTATATACGATAAAAAATTTTCCACATCATTATATACATTATTACTCTGCAGAGATTGAGAGTTTTTACGGAATAAATCGTCGGAATTCGTCGTCGTTGTTATATTTTATGTAGTAGTTGGGTGCAGCATAATATAAAGGTATGACACATAATTTACCATTTTAAACTTTTAGAACATATTATAACTTATAATATTGGGACATGGACATTATTGTGATAATAATATAATAATATAATGTTAATAATATTTGGTATCAAAAATAAGTCTCGTCCGGCGGAAGCGGTCTGCTGCGGGACAAATCGGACGAGAAAAAATAAATCGGAACAAGTTTTACGGACGTTTAAATATTATATGTATATGTATACTATACGACACGGCCGCTGCACTAATAATGTGGTGAAGCGATCAATGCGACTTAATATACTTACGGCGACAATACTCGCGTGGTGATACACGATGAATGTATATATTGTTGAGTGTACATCGGTGGGCGGGGGTTTGAGAGGAAATAATATAATTTAATAAGGCTATGTATATGAATACGTAGAGAAACGAATTTCATAAGATGGATACAAGAGAGAATAATGCGCTACGATGAGTGAGATAACGATAAAAAACTAGTGCATTTTTTTTTATATTTATATATAAGTCATATACCCCATAGCAGTGCCTCGCTCTCTGCGCATAGGTATTATGTGTTTTTTCGTATGATATACCTATAACAATATATTATATATTGTTAAAAAAACGGCAGGCAACGAGGAGGAGACGCGCGAGCGAAGGACACGGTCAAATGGAGTATGGACGCGGAATTATCGCGGACATAATCCGGTAATGTACCTACGGTGGATATTATTATTACTATTATTATGTACACGAAATAATAAAATGTAATATAATATAATACAATGTGGTATACCTACCTACCTATACTATAATAATAGTTCGGGCCGTCACGAATCGCGTCCATTCATCCGTCAAAGTCGTCCGGCGGTAATGGGGGAGCGGATTGGGGAGGGGGGACGTAAAAAAAATTGAAACGAAAAGAAAAACGACTTGGTCGTCGGCCGCGGCTCGCGTGCAAAAGTGGTGGGAAATAATATTGATATTGGTGATGAGACCGAGTGTATAATAACAAAATATACCTGCATAATAGCGTACAGAACGATTTTTTTCTCCCTAATCAGTATTATAATATTATGATTCAACAATCGACGGTCATCAGGTTTTCTTTGACATCCTTAACCGCAAATATTGTATTATGTTCGAATATAATACACGGACACGCGGTGTATTATACACTTTTTTTCTATTGTATGCACTTAATTTTCGAAAATGCTTAATAACATTATGGTATACATTGGATAATCGTTGTCACTTGTTGCGTAGGAACGATCATCATTTTGAACGTATTTATCGGTATTCGGAACGGCTAAATAGCTGCTTATGCTTATAAATAAATAATAATATAATATGATATCATAAAACGATTTAATTAGAATTTATAGATATTGTAGCTAAAATATAATATATAGAAGAAGTATTAGTAGGTATTTATCTTAATTATTATTAAAGTATATAATATATACGTACGACGCGAAAAATGTTTACCGCCCCTCTCGGTCTAAAAATCGTTACGTATACGCCCCCAATAAACCATATTATAATATAAAAAATATTATATTGTTTATGAGCGATATTTTGGAAGATGTCTGATTCATGGGTATGGACACGAATTATAAATATAGGACAGGGCGCTGCGATATCGAGAGTTTAACATCGAAATCGTACGCAATATATGTACGAGACACAAAGTATACGCCTATATAAACTCGTTTGGGTCGTGTTTGAACTCACAATCGAACCGCAGGCGCCAACATGAGTTTGTCCGGAGGTTTACGCGGTTTTCGTGAAAAACTACAGAGGGAGAACTGTAGTACATGTGTCATTTCAATTTTCAATCAGCCAAATATAGCCAAAATCTAAGAAGACCATTTTTCTTCATATTTTTAAATATATATTTTATGTACGTATGGTGTTGAAAGGTTACATTATATTATTTACTTACTGTTTTTATGAATTACACTATAGTTATTGAAAAAATTGAACATATCTTTTGAATGCATGCCATCTACAAATTATATGCATATCACCTCCATTTATAAAATAATTATGGATACCAAGTGTAATATTATATTATATACATCACGGTTAGTAGATATTATTCACTACTATGGAACGACCCTCGGCGTAAATTTTATTGTGTAGGCCAAAAAAAAAACTCTGAGAAAAATAGAGGCGCCAGAGTACGCCCTGCCACCCCTTGGGCACCCGCTGGCGCCTCTGACCGCGTAGTACACACACGCTTACACTCGAGAAGTCAAATTTCGTTTCATGTTACCGAATCGTATGTACATAATATTATAAAATACGCGATGTTATGAGCACGGGCGTGTGAGTGTACCGCGAGAGACACGCCGAGCGCGGAAAGGAATAACAATATAATAGTAATAATAGTAATAATACGGTACCTATATTATGCTCAACGCGTGCGTAAGACGGAGAAGCAATACGACGACGACGATGATGATAATAATAGTAATAGTAGTAGTAAAAAAAAAGACGAGCGTAAAAAAAATATAATAATAATAATAAAACGAAATAAATAAAATAAAAAAACGTCGACGACGACTACGATAATAAAACACTCGT